TCTCTGAGCCCAGCAATCTAGCCAGTTTTTCACCCAGCAAACCATACACCTGCTGAAGGTCTAGAATTGCCAGTTTCTCTAGGAGAGAAACTGCATAACATTTTGTCGAAACATTTACTTCATTTGCTTTAATAAAATTCAAGTAAACAATCCACAGCCTTCCCTTCATCTTTTAAGTGGGTCATCTTGTCATAGAAGTAAATCAGGTTAGTCAGGCAGGACCTGCCCTTCAAAAATCCATACTGATGCTTCTGATTACTTGATTGTCTCTAAGGTCCATGCAATGGCATTCAAGATGATCTGCTCCATGATCTTCCTGGTACTGAGGTCAGACTGACAGGTCCCTAATTCCCTGGATCCTTCTTCCTACCCTTCTAGTAGATAAGAGTCACATTTGCTAACCTTCTGTTAATTGGGACCTCCTTAGTTAGCCAGGACTGTCAGTAAGATATTAAAAAGAAGCTTGTGAGCATTGCCTCCAGCTTCTTCAATGTCTTGGCTGAATCAAGTCTTGCACCACAGACTTACAGATGTTTAAAAGATGTAGAAGGTCACTCAGAGTTTCCCATCGGATTACAGAGGCTTCATCTCAGCCCCCATCACCATCTTCCAACTCAGGAAGCTGGGTACTCTGGGAACAACCGACATTGCTAATGACGAGCCATTGCTAAAGACCAATGCAAAAAAGGCATTAGCTGCCACAGCCTTATCTTCATTTACATCAATACATTTTCCCTCACTGATTTTCCTCACGCTGCAGTTGTGCTGCAGGAGCAGCATAGGTCCTGGCTGATCCTTTGGCTGTACTCTGCAAGGAAGGTAGAAGGCAGCTGCCTGCTTAATCTCCAAGTCAGTACGTACACAGCGATGCCACAGCACCTGAAGGACACCAGTAAAAGGTCTTAGGTAGATGAAAAATAAGGACATTAATTGTACAACTCTAAAAATGAGGTCCTTGTACATTCCCAAATCAGCTGTAGCATCAAATGTTTTATGAGAACACCCCACAGAACTGAATGGTGATACATCCTTCCAGCAAGGTCTCATAACAGTGAAGCACACCAATACAAGCCTGTCTGGTTTCATCTACTGTGCCTACTGGACTATACAGAAAAATCTTTATTGATGATCAACACTAACAAATCACTCATTTTTGCTAAGAACAGGGAGTATTTTCTCCCTCGCTCTGGTACCACTGAAGAAAATGTATCTGCAGAACTTGAAGCTCCAGATCCAGCTGTACAGGGAGCATGCCATGGCTTGAGGATAAGAGATGAAACAGAGTGAGACTAACTAGGTGAGAAAAGAGGATGTAGAACAGGAAAAATCTGCCACAAGTGGTAAAGAAAAGCAGACTACTCACTGCTTCTCATGGCCCAGAAGACCAACGACACACAAAATTAAGGGGCAAAATTTAAGTCATTAAAAGCAAAAAAAAACCCAAACAAACAATCCAAAATGTCTTTACACAAAATTGGTTAGAGAATCTCAGTCCTATGAGATGTTGCAGGGGTTGAAAAGTAAATAGATAGAAGAGAATTTGGCAAGCAGAGGATGAGGGCAATTAAACACAACATATGACATAATTTGCCATTCACACAATCCCAAAGTCAAAAATCTACAAGAAATAGAGTGAGTGTACACTAGTGCAACAATGGTATCTTTTCCTCAGTGTCCACGTCTGACCATTATTGGATATAGTGACTGGTCTAATTAACTAATGGAGTTAATATGAAACCAGAGTTACACTGAAAAGTTCACATCCATGCAATGGATCTTCTTTTTTAAACGCATCAGTTCCCAACCTGATCTCTGTGAACTATGGATCAGATATGTGATCTACACCATGGTAAATACTGAAAATAGCACATTTATCAGAAAAAAAATGGAAGACTGTGTGGAAGAAATAGACCTGGGGGTGTTGGCTGGCGCTTGGCTGAACATGAGCTAGTAGTGTGCCCAGGTGGCCAAGAAGGCCAATGGCATCCTGGCTTGTATCAAAAATAGTGCTGCCAGCAAGAGCAGAGAGGTGATCATCCCCTTGTACTCAGCGTTGGTAAGGCTGCACCCCAAGAGCTGTGTACAGTTTTGGACCCTTCACTACAAGACATGGAGGTCCTGGGTTGCATCCAGAGAAGGGCAACGAAACTGGCGAGAGGTATGGAGCACAAGTCTGATGAGGAGCAGCTGAGGGAACTGGGATTGTTCAGTGTGCAGAAGACAAAGTTCAGGGGAGACCTTATCACTTTCTACAACGACCAGAAAGGAGATGGTGGTGAGCTGGGGGTTGGCCTCTGCTCCCTTGTAACCAACAGTAGGACAACAGGGAATGGCCTCAAGCTGTGCCAGGGGAGATTCAGGTGAGATACTAGGAAAAATTTCTACTACCAAAGAATGGCCAGGTGCTGGAACAGGCTGCCCAGAGTGGTGGTTGAGTCATTATCCCTGGAGATGTTAAAGAAACATTCAGATGTTGCACTAAGGGATGTGGGTTAATGGGGAAATACTGGTGGCAGATGGATGGTAGGAGTATGTGATCTTGGAGGTCTTTTCCTACCTTGGTGATTCTGTGAATGGAAGAAGCAGCAAACAGCATCCTGAAACAACTCAAAACATATGTGTGCATATGCACATACATTATGCATGTGTAGATGTACAAATTATATAAACTATTCCAAAAGCACGTAAGGGAAAGCTGTCTCTGCCTTATGTTACTGTCATTGGAGGTGCAAGTTCTCCCTTTTGTAATCACAATAAAGAATGGTAAAATTCATGATTAAAATCTCCATGACTTCTACATAGCTAATTGAAGAACTGTTTCAGGAAAACAGTTGCTTTGGAATCTGTTACTCTGGCATTTCTTGTCATTTTTAGTATCCGCCACAACGTAGCAGGGAGGAACCTATTTATATCTATTCCTAACTCCTACAGCCATGTCAGCATCTCATAGAAATATCTACCAAACACACACTGTTGCAAAAAAAGTCTTTACTCCCTTTTCCAGGTGTTGCAGAGTTTAACAAAGATAAGAGAAAAACAAAGACAACGTTCTGTACGGAGTTAAAAATGGCTCAACCAAGTTTAAGCTGAAGGATATTAACAGGAAAACAAACAAATCAAAAACAGGCTGTGAAAATTTCTCAAGAACTTTTAAAGTTTCCAAGTTCAGAAGATGGAACAGGATGATAGATAATACTTCTGCAGAGCAGGAATTACTTGAGTTATAGCATTCCTGAAGGCGATTAAGAATGCATTCCTGTAAGTGACAAGTTAGTAAGCAGATACACAATGCAGAAAAACACATAGAAGTTTATCAAATTCTTCTTTTTTTTTTCAGCCAAACATTTTAGTCCGCTGAGATGTGATCCCTTTCCTCACAGTCCTACATCTGAAGTTTAAGAAGCCACTGCACTTCCATTTCCTTCAGTTTTTCTAAATCTAGATGACTAGCATAGTGATTTCCTGCAAATTCTTACAGGTTTATCATCTCAGATCTTTCCAAGGCACGCATCTGAAGCTGTTCTGTTTCTCTCCTCACTCAGAGAGGAGAAACAAAGCCCACAGCCAGAATTTATGTTGTTGTATATTTGAATTCTGTAAGTTAACCTCTTAAAAACTTACTTAAAGTAGTTAGGAAAAAAGCAGTGAAGTTTAAATGCTTGCAAAGCCCAAGGATAACAGACCCATCTTAGCTGAGCCATTAATTTCACAAGTTTAATCTGTTCAACATCGTGTTTTCCAGCTGCAAGGGCGAAACACATTACGTTTTAGCCCTGCTCACAGTACAGAATCAGGCAGGAGGAAAGGAAAAGGCTGTTCTCTTTGTGAAAGAACTGCTAGGTCCTACCTCCTTGAAAACAAAGGGAATGGGAACAGTCAAGGCCAAAACTCCATTTACAGAAAATCAGTGGGTTATGCACAACAGCAGCTGCGCTCAGACCTTCAGAGCCCACCTGGAGCCTGCAGATTTGATCTCTAAATTCTGAGAATCAGACACCAAAAACTAGAAAAAGTATTTTCTTTTGTTCTTCCATTTTTTAAAAACGTCAAAGTAGAAGCAAGCTTTGAATTGAAAGTCTTGAAACTGAGATCACTGCATCCCCTCTCTTTGCCCCTCCTTACAATGTTTGGTAGCCAGCCAAATGGCTCAGCTTAGCTCCACTTTCCACATCAGTCCAAAAGTAGAATAAGTACTAAAACTTGCATCAGGAGAGGGGCTTATAATCACATTAGAGACGTGCAACAGAGACCAGCTACCTCGGTTCAGTGGACAGCTTGAACAAGGCTTCATAATGAGGTACAGGTGTCAGCACTAATTAGGAATACTCAGCCCGCTGCTAACATCAGCCCCCAAAGCAGTGACTGCACTTTAATCCTTTCAACCACATAAAAGGAAAGCAGAGAGGGGCAGATAAAAAAATATATATATAATAATAATAATTAAAAAAATTTTTTTTAAATCTCTGTAAATGCCCATGCAGAGGATAGAACATTTTTCCTTACTTAAGTGTGAGCGAAGGAAAAACAGAAGCATCACAAAACTCTAGGAAGTTTACTATGGAGTATCCAAACATGTAAAAAAGAACCTAAACGTCTGCATAGCTGGACTTTTTGATTTTAGGAAGAGTATCACAGCATCAGTATGTATTCATCACAACTATCAGAATTTATATATGCATAAAAACATCAGCACATAACATAATGATATGAAACTATTCCCTCTATGCCTACCAACTTCCAGTTCTTACAGGGTACATCACCACAGATTTTAACTGAAATTATTACAAGGACTTCTGCACACTGGAATCTCATCATTAACTGCTTCTTTTGTGACTTTCTCTCAATTGAAAGCCTTTATACTCCTTTAGATCCACAAAGTTTTCATTTAAAATGTGGTATCTGAATGCTGAAGGTATGCAGGTTCAATTCAGGCATTGTAAACACCAACACGTGCATTATTATTATTATTTTTAACAAATATGAATTCCTCCTTCACTTACATGCCAGGTCACGAGGTAGATGTTTTCGCTTCATCTGATGGCATCACAAGCTCCTAAAAAAATGAAAGGAGTGCTATTTAGGGAGGATTGACACCAGGCATTTCATGTTTGAGCTACAATTTCACTTTTGGCAAGTAAGTGAAGGGTATGTCATATTTTTATTGCAATTTCCCAAAGAAAATTACACTTCTAAAACCTAATTTCCCTAATTCTCACTCAGTTTATGGAAAAATAAAATGCACCAACTGTACACACAACACACGCTACAATATAAAAACACAAACTACTACAACAATAAGTAAATCCATAAGAATAATCTTAAAGTCAACTTTGCCATTTCTATGAATAAGAACCATCTTTACCGATATCAACAAAATGAAACTTAACCTAGAATATTCTGTTTCAGGAATATGAAACTAAATGTTTAGGTAACTGCCAGCTTATTCAGCTAGTCTAAAAGGTTGATCTCCTCCGATATGCAGACACTTGCTTTATTCTAGAGGGTCGTGGATGAAGGGAGCATGCTTATAAATTCACATAAAGGCAAATTAAAAAATAGCTCTAGAGAGAAAGGGTCGAATAGCTCCAGCCTGAATTCCTCCCCACATTCCTCAGGCTCCTCTGTGATGATCCTGGACAGCTCAGCTTCTCTGGCAGGGGCTCTGCTTACTTGCTCTTTTTAATTGACTAACTCGCTTCAAGCAATAAGAATCATGGAAAGAGGAGGCATTTCTCTGCCCATAATCCCCTCTTGAGGGGTTATGCACATGTACGTGAGCCTATTGTAAGGGACACGACAAAAGCATTACAGTTGTTACACCCAGTAGATTTGTGACAATGCTCCTGGGGGTGTCAGCCACTAAGAGCTGGGAAACGCAGTATTAGAGAACAGAAACGAAGTAAAAGATGAAGATCTGATATCTAGGCACACATAACTGCCAGAAGAAAAAGAACAAGGGTGGGTGGAATGGCACTCTCTCCCTGAAATAAGCCAGCTCCCAGCCCATGTGTCAGCACCATGTTGCTGCTTCGCCACCCTCCCGCAGCAGAGGGCTGAGTCCCACAGCCCAGCAGCCAGAGGAGCAGCAGGCAGCCCATTACTGAGAGCAGGCATTGCTCAACTGTGCCTGTGCCATCAAAGGAGAGCAGCTCCTTATAAGCTGGAGAGGGGGCGGAAAAGAAAATTTTAAAAGAAAGGCCCACACAATATATTATAGCTCCCCTATTGTGACCCAACAGTATTTTATAGTTTTAACTACCGTTTTTCTTTGATTTAAGGTTTTGGGGCTTTGTGTTTGCGTGTTGCTGGGTTTCCTTTAAACCATCTCAGTGCCTCTTTCCCATCTCCTTGCCAGTCCCTGGCTACGTACCCATGACCAGCAGATGAAGCAGCAGCCAAGGCGAGGTGCCCGGATGGTGACTGGCAGCACACAGCCTGGCCTGCACCTCAGGCAGCATGCAGGCCATTGCTGAGGGACTGGCATGTCTGGATGTGAGCCAGGAGCCCAGCCTCTGCCCTCAGGAGGGCAATCCAGTCTGCAGCCCACAAATGAGGCTGAGCAAACAGGGGGAACAAGAGAGCCACCTCAGAACTTGCCAGGGCTCCACAGCAAAGCCCCATGGCAGTACTGGCTCGCCCTCCAGCTGAGGGGACTGCACATACAGTAGAGGGGCTGGGGGAGAGATGAAGCTGAACAGAGCATCCTGATCAATTTTACAAACCTGACTAAGCAAGTTTTTTTTCTTACAAAAATGTTTCACTTCTGAGTTTCCTTCCTTAATGTCCCCCACTGAATGCCTTTAATGTAAATTTTCCATAGAAACAAAAGCAAAGCCTTGGTCACGGCAGCTCAAATGGAATCATTAAAATGCAGTGAAGCTTACAACTTTTAAGTGTGAACAAAACCACAGCCTCTGCCTCCCAGCTGAACCACAAAACTAATATATTTTTTAATCATTCATTAAAAACACGTTTGTTTGCTCAGTTAAAGGCCAAGATGAACTCCACAATACCAAAAGGTTCAACTAAAATTCTCTCTCTTGTTCCTTACCCATTCTGCTGTACAGCTACAACCTGCAGTACCAGTTTTATTTATTTCACAGTATATACAAAATAGCAAGGAAGATACAGCTAGCTTGTTTGTTTGCTTTAAGTTGTTTTGGTTTTTTTTTTCTGTTTCGTGTGTATGTGGAGGGGATTAAGTCAGTCCTAATACACTGACTCAGAAACACAAAGCTGATTCATCTCAAATGAAGGAGTAGGGGCTCAGTGCCAGAACCCCAGCAGAGGCAGGTGCCAGCCCCCAGGGGCAAACAGAGGCCAGGGGTAACAAACAGGGAGAGGTAACAAACAGGGAGAAGCATGCACTGTACCAGCAGGGCCTGGTAAACAAAAAGCAACACAGCAGCAACAGAAACTGCAACACAGTGCAGTAGAAAAGAAAAATTAAAAAGGTTTTTATAGAAACTAAGACAGCATAGATACAGAAAACAAAACTTGGAAATGCAAAGAAGCTTTCTGTTAATACTGCCTGTGAAAATATTGCATTACCAGGAGAAAAAACATCAGAAAGACGTGTTTCTTAAAATCCAACTTTTAACATCAGAAAGGCAATTGGAATCAAGACCAATGCTTGCAGTTATTGCTACCTGCCAGCACTCACCAACAGCCAAGCCCCCAAACCAAGAACTGCCACTGTGTGAAAGCAGTGCTTTGTGCTTCCTTCCTTAACCATACCACACACTGATGGCCACTCTCAAAAGAGAATCACAGAGAAACGATCCACAAGGCACTGGAGAAGGGCAGTGAGATAGGACCAAGATCTCATGACATTGCCAAAAATGCATGTCCCAGCTGTGCTTCATGGGGACACTGCCACCTCTTCATGCCACCCTTAGCAGCAGAAGCTTCCTAGACAAAAGCCAGCATCCCTCCTCATGTGGCTCAAGCCCTTCACCAGTTTTCTACTAGCACCAGACACACAGAGAGCTCTTCCTTTCCTGATGCTGTCAGCATCATAGACGCTATTCTCATCATCTTGTTTTTATGCCACTGCCTTCCCCAGGCCAAAATACAACTGGCTCAGTCACCTCTGCTCACAGACCACGTTTCTTACATTTCTGATCCAGCTTGTTGCTCTCTACTATCCCGCCTAGGGCTGGTCCACAAAAAACAATAGGAGGTTGTGATGCCTAAATCCAGGCAAAGTATTTCAGCCGTACACTTCCCTACATAGAAAATTGTTCTTTCCCATTATGCAACTTCCAGGCAGTAGCCCCATGTACAAACCCAAGTGTGTTTGCTTTTTGCAATAATGTGGTCCTGCTGCCAAAAAGTTAGGGAAGCTTCACCAGCCTTGCACCCCTCAGCCTCTACTGCACTCCATCCAGCTCCCTTCAGACTGCTTCTCCAGTTTGTTGGGATGGCTGTTAGCACAAGGTATCTTCCAAGCAGAAGTGGAACCCCACTCAGCTTTAGCTGGATATTTAATGAGCATAGTCCTTATTCCTTGGTCCACACCATTAATCAGTTATTAGTTAATACAGAACCTTGGAGAGACCAAGGTTAAACTTAACTAACTCCACGTGTCTTATTTAAAATTAATTAGTAACTATCCTCTCAGATTTCCAAGCAACTGCAGACATTCCTGTAAGCACTTCATCTAATCCACGTCTCCCCAGCTGCTTCTGATAGCGTGCCTTTTCTGATAACTTGTATCACCTAACATGCAATTCCCACCTCACAACTGACTTGCAGAACTGCATATTAGAAAGTTGGTCTTTGTGATGCTTCATGTCTCGTTCACGGTAAATAATCCCACAGATGTAACAACTGCTTAGCTGGGAAAAGTATTAGAAAATCATTTCCAATTTTTTCACAGACTGTTTCAGATATCTAACACATGTAGTCAGCTCCCCACGGACTACCAGTAACATTACACAGATGCCTTACAAAAGGCAGATCAAGCTTTCAATGCTACCAAGGCAGCACAGGCAATAAAGCCAATAGATTTCAAGGTTACAGATAAATAATAACATGAAGCAGGAAGGTAATGGCAGTCTTTCCCTCATAACTACAAGGCAAGAATCATTAACAAGTATCCAGATATACAATGGATACTGCTTTGATGTAACTGAGGAGATGCTTCTGGGCAGCAGTCATCCTAAGGGGACTTAAAGTAGACAAAATCATCAAGCTTTGAGAAAAGCATCTTGAAATCCTTAGTAAGCATTCATAATGAACTAGACTGAATTTTTGATTGTTTTAAACTATGATCTGTTGCTTTTCCTTTCCAAGCCTCAAACAGCGCTGTCTTCACTCAACATTCAGGAGCTTCTCAATTTTTACCCCTGTTCCAAACTGGCCACAAAGACCCTGGGATAAATCTACAAACTTGTTGTAGAAACCTAAAATAGCCCATTTCTCCTTAGGAAAGATCAGAGATGCAAAAACCATCTAATAAAACCTGCCACTCTCTGTCACCTTCACTTCCTCTTACCCTCACAGAAACACTTTGTTGTACCTTCACAGCCTTGAGCCTACTGTTAATAGTAACCAGCAACTCCATAATTCTCAGCAACCAATTAGAACTTGTTGGGAAAATCATTTCCCATAGCGGCTTACCCCATTTCAGATGAACAATACAACAGGATGTCTAGAATGACAGGTTTCATAAGACAACTAACCAGTACCATCAACCCCTTGTTTTATGAATTGCTCTGAAGTCCTTGGCCCCCAGGCATTTGGATGGTGACCCAATGGAGCAGTCACTTGGCCTGTGTACAGAGCCAGCCATTCTGCAAAATGCTCACATCTTACTTATTGCTTGAAATTACTTGTTTCACAATGTAATTAGCGTATACACAGACAAAAATAAAGAGATTCTGGACCTGAAGCAGCTGCCCTACAGGAAAAAGCCACCAAGATCAAAACACACCTTAATGCGCACATCAAGTCATTTACACTCTTGATACGCTGGCAGGACATTAACGCTGTTGGAACAAAGCAATGGGTCTGTGAGAGATCAGAAGTTATGGGATAAAATCCAAAGAAAGAAAATAATTTCAGCTTAGCATTAAGGAAACTTTCTGACAGTAAGAGCTATTGGTCTGCATCCCCAAGGGGAAGAACAGAGGCTGCAGCTCTTGACACTGAAACAAAGACTGGATGTTGGACAAGAGTGCTGGTGCCCACTCTGCCAAAAGAACATCCCCAGTTCTGCATTTCTCAAACTGGCCTGAGGGCGAGGCAGCAACAAATGGCACCCAAGCACAAAAAGGAGAGGCTTGCTTGGCCTGTTGGCACTAAGGATGGCACACACATGTTGCTGTGGATCCACAGCAAGCTCTGTGCATGTCCTCCAAAGCACATGAGCACACCAGTACCTCCTGGTGAAAGCTAAGTAATCTCAAGTGGCTTATTCCAGCCCTACCTCTCCTCCCTCCATCACATAGAGGGCTCTGTGTACTCTGGGGGAAGCTGCAGCATGCAGCTGCATTCAAGGACAGTCACCACGCAACAGCACAGGCACATGCTCCTCTTTTCCAAGATGAAATGCTAAGGAGATACATCACTTCAGTACATCCTGGTACAGAATGCTCTTCTCCCTCAGAAAAGCTCATTCTCTCAATGACAGGTCACACAGCAATACAGAGTTATGCAGAAAGAGCACATAGGCACAAAGTTGAAGCCTGCAAATTAGGATCAAAGTATCGACACCGCTGACAGCAGGCTTCCTGAACCCAAGATGCCTGGAAGGGGATAGAGACAAACGTGACAAATGTGGTTTGGTGCTATCAAAAAGCTAAAGAATGAAGCTGTCAGCCAAGAAATAAATGTAAAAAAATAAAGTGAAAAACAAGCAATTTATGACAATCTGGAGCCACAAAACTAACTTCAGTTCATAAGGAGAGAAAATACTACATCTTCCCATCAGCCACTTGATGTTAAGTTGGGGTTTAACTTTCAAATCTCCTCATTCAACTTGCACATCCTGTTCTAAATACATGGGGTTTTTTGTGCATTTCCTAAAGCAGGGTGATGGCAGCACTATTTCATCTAAAGTTCTGAAGGGAAACTCAAGAAAACATTGCAGAAGCAATCATCTAGATGACCTACTAAAAGCATCCTTTCTCATAGCTAGTTTCCATTATTTAATGGAAATTATTTGTGCACAGTTAAGGACATCTTTAGTGGAGATCTTAAAATTTAAAAAAATGAAATGTTCCAGCAAGTGTGAGAACTTCTAAAACATGGTAACAGATGTCATGTTTTTGATGGCAGAGCCACGTTGTTCTCATAAACTCCACAGAAAGTCTCATGACCCTACAACAAACACGAGAGCCACAAATGCTGCTTCTTGGATCCTCCACATACAGGCAATACAAGCGACCAAGGGGTGGATCTAAACTTAGGATTGCATTAAGACCAAACTTCAGAGCTTTCAAAGTCAATCCCTGGCTCCAGATCAACACCCCTCATCCAACTTGTGACATCGGTTATCTGTGAGACCTCATAGGAAAGCTCCCTGCTCCTTCTCTCTAGCCATCACACCAGCACTTAGACCACCACCTCCCCCTGCAATGAAACTAAATTGAGTGCCCACACCTTGCACCAGGATGATGCAGACAAGGGCTGGAGCACAATCACGGCACAGTTACTGGAGCACCAGACCAGAAAGCACGTCAAATGAGCCTTAATCAACTTCATCCTTTGTGGCTACAAGTTCCACAGCAGCAACCAAAAACGCATTTCTCCCTGAAGATGATCTTAAATCATCAGAAAGGGTTGGGGGAGGTTGTTTGTTTTTTAATTGCTATGAAAGAGAAACCTGCGTCAACTCACAAATCTTGTTCCAAAGCTGTTCCCGCTCAGTCAGACAAAACAAATGAGAAGTTCTGAGGAAAAAGCAGAGAAAATGTGGCCCCAGTGGAGGCGGCAGGCACTAATGTCAGCACCAAAACAAAGCCAGCAATCAGCAAGACATTTATCTGATTAATTTGTTAGCAGAACTCCTCAGAGAACACTGAATTTATTTCTGCTCAAAATCTTCAGGTATACTGGGGGATTCAAGATCAAGTGCAATGCAGACTATTCCTTCAGACCATCTGCTGCCAAGAGAGCTGGCTGACAAAAGGGAAAACGTGACCTTTAATAAAATTCTCTAAAACAGAGATCTTTATAATGTTGCCTTTTTTTTTTTTTTTTAAAGCAAGATTCCTGTTTTGTAAAGCTGCCACCTGTGAGGAAGGTGAGAGGCTTTGCCAGAACCAGAGCATTCAGTGCTTCTGGACCAGAGAAACCCGCAAATCAAGAAGGCTCTTCACCAATGACCTGAAGGCAGAAAGAGAATGCAACTTCCAATAAGAGGATTGTGCACTGAGTTTTCACTCCTGCTTACCTGAAGCACAAAAATCAGTTTTTACTGCTATAATCCTGTCAAGATCTGCACAGCTCCACAGAGAAAGTAAATGCAGGAGCTGAGCTCTTCTCCTCTGAGAATCATCATCACACAACTACAGTCCGGCCAACTACATCTCCAGATGCCCATATGACTACAAAGAGGTGCTACAGAGCACCTTGATGTTGCATAAAACCTCTAAAAGATCCAGAGATGCCAGGTCAGGGAGCAAAGCAAGCTCAGCTTCCCATGTAAGGGCTGCCGCTAACACTACTCCTTCAACATCAAACGTGCACGACTGGTTTGATCATTATAAAACATTACACCAGTGCCTCAAACTGTTAGAAAAGCTGGTTTCTTTCCTGGAATTAACTTAATATAAGCTTCCTAAGATGATTTCAAGGAGGAAACAGAAGAGCATTTTGACAAAAAAATGAAATAAGATAAGAACAGAAAATTGGAAAAGGCTTTGAGAACAAGTGCACCTGAAGTCACTTTTGGAAGCACTGTGGAAGTTACTCAACTAAGTCAATACTTTGCCATTATTTTGTTTTTCCAGCAGTTCTTCTTGCTATATATGTGTAGGTTTTTTTTTTCCCCCCTTTTGAAACATGCTTAATATCTGCACAAAGTAAATGGAGCTGATGTACATTTTCAATCAAATACACAGATTCAACTTGCTTAACCAAGCAAAGCATACATATGAACAGGCATAAAAGCATAGAAATTTGTGTGAAATACATGAACAAAATACTAATTAACACAAGCATTTACTGAAAAAAAAAAAGAAAAAGAAAAACCCCAAACAAATAAAACAGAAAATGATATTTTATAATGTGAATGACTTATTTTCTGCAAATGCTAAGACTCGACTTGTCAGTGGGCAATACCTTCACATAAGCACATGTGAACTCTCACAAATGCGCCAGCTACACAGAATATTACCTCATGTAAAAACTGATGGTGGGAAACACCATCTTCTACCAGACCTATCAAATCTACACAGATCTTTCCATAAAAAAAATTAAAAAAAAAATCCCCAAAGGTTTGCCAAAAAATATTTTCAGGCTGACTACAAATAATCTGGAAGTCCATTCTGTCTGGAATTTGGTACAGGAGACAAATGTAATGTGACCTAGCTGATTTATAGGGTCCCAAGAACACTGTGAGACACTCACGAGAAATGCCTGTGTTCTATAACAAGAAAGAACTTAGGGAAGTCAAGGAAAAGACAAGAGGGGGCAGACAACAGGGGAGTACAAAGGCATCAAAGACACTGCTAGAAGAGATAAGCAGGAACTATAAATCACATCTGAGCTGCTATGTGCGTTTGAGGCCTCCCCTCCTCCCCTTTTTAATTTACTTTAGAGCTTTTTTCAACACTTAACCCATTCATACCTCAAGTGGACTATCTGAAATACTGAAGTTAAGCACACAGAAGTGGGGACACAGAACAAATCTGTGTTAATAATCTTAAACACAGAATGAAACAGCACCTGTAAGAGCTAGTAGATGTCAGTCTGAGCTCATGCACACTTCTGCTTGCATAGAGAGGCTTCTGAAAGCCTAGAACAAGCTAAGAAGACACTGGACAAAGGATCCAAGACAGCACTTAAGCCAAATTAATCCCTGTAATGGGAGTCACAGACTCTTGACTGATATCGAGGCGACCGTCAGAAGCTTTCTGATAACTTACATCTTGCCTTGTGAAATTTTCTGACGTTTGTAGGGGATGAAAAATGAAAACACGATGTTTTATCTTGCAAAGAATCATATATAGTCAGTTTTAAGCAAAAGAAGAGAGAGAATACACTAAGTACTGGTACATAATCTAATTTTCAGCGTATTTGTCTTTTGTTGAGCTCAGGCCAGATGCTTCACATTTCACAACAGCTATTCCAGTTATTTCACCTCCGTATAGCTGTCCTATCAGCACAAGCCAGGTCTCCATCAAAACTGTAACAGCGTACATGGATGCAACTTGCCTGCCACTGCCTACATCGCTTTCAGCTCCTGCTGCAAGTAAACTACGCGTACTTTATACTCTAGATAATAAAGCACAGAAAATTCATTTATGCAACAGGGACAAAGCATTGTGCAAAAATAATTTCCATCGAAGAATCAATACCATTAAGCAGGAGTGAATTTTCCTTCCTATCTATGCCAATGGCCATTACAACACTGTTGCTCATAAATAAGCACCTTGTATTAACATCAGCCCTTCAGTTCCTCCCTCGCTCTCAGCACATTCTGTTACAGAACTGCAAGTCCAAATTCGCCTGGCAAAATGCTTCACTTACTTCTTAAGATTGCTCATTTCATGCTACGCTGGAAATGATTATGTTGTTAACATAAGGAAAACTGCAACTTCATTATCGGGTTTAAGTATCTGCCTTTCAGTTGCTTAAATGACAGTCAATTTGATTCTTTCAAAAGAACACAACAGCTCCTGAATTAAGCCGATGTGGAAGAGTTGCTGGAACTCCCCCAGACAAGGTTAGGGCTATCACAGCGCAGCAGTGCTGATGACCAGCCATCCTTCCCCTGTCATATCACCAGTCGGCGGCCTTGGAAAACACAGAAAACTATTTTCCGTACTAGAAACAAGCATTCCTTCTCCTTCCTATCAAACAACACTTAACAAGGTTTACCTTTCACTGCAAATCATCACCTGTTATCACCACTTCATTTCAGTCCATTAGCTGCAGCAAAAAGAGCCTATTTGCATCAAGGGAGGCACAGGAGCACAATTCTGCCACTCTCCTTCCTCTGCAGCACGCTCCTGCCTTGCTAACAGAAGCAAGGGACACCCCATGCCCTTCTGCAGAGGCTCCCCCTCACTCTACCACCAATGCACTGACTGCTTGCTCCTGCATTTCGACACGCACACGGCATGTTTTAGCTGCATGAGCCCTTCTCTGCCAGAGCCCAAACCTGCTTGGAATGTGGCACTACTTCAACGATGACTCCACTATAGCTGCTCCAATACCAAAGCCTGTAAATCAACACACGAAGAGTATTAAAGAAATGCAAGCAGTTAAAAGCAGAACAATGAAGAGAATTAAAAACCACAAGTAATCCCGCTAGGGACATTTCTTTCCTCCCTTGTCAGAACACACACTTCTCCTATACACTTTGTGCACAGCAGCCCAAAACCAGGGTTTTCTGTGCAGCAGTAGAAAGAAAATACTGCCCATTTATTCCGCTGTACATGATATATGAGAAGATTTAAATATCTAGTGCAAATAATAATTTTCTCTATATTTTAATACTCCTTAAAGCAAGCATTATTTAAAAAGTGCCTGGCTTGCTCAAAACAGCCGCGCTTTCAAAGCAGCAAGAAGGAAAGCTCTGTGTATAGTTACAATTTTCAAGTGCTCACGAACACCCACATCCCTCTATCAACCTAACAGCTGTGTCAATCTAACAGCAACGTCTTCACGTTAACGAAAAACCAAACAAACACAAACCTTTTCTCTCAGACTCCTATTGTGCACTTCACCCAGGCGAAGCACCTTGCTCACACAACACGACACGATGAAGCACGGGCAGAAGCAGCACAGCTCACAGGCTGGCCCCACACAGGCCTCCTGATGCCAGCCCCAGGTCCTGTACCACAAGATGGCAGCTTCCCGCCAGCTTCGTGCGCCGCACGCACTGTGGCACAATGCTGACTAATTGTGACCAGCACTCCCACCCTATGGCATGGTTATGTGCTGGGGAGTAAGGTGGGCAGCACGCTGCCCCTACTACCAACCTGGGCAGGTGGAATAGGAACAGCAGCCTCAGCCTAGCAGCAGCTTCCAGTAGGTGCGGCAGCTTCGCACAGGCAGCGTTTGTAGGAATAAGAAAAGGTGAGAAACAAGAAGAAAAGGGAAAGAAAAAGAAAGAAAAAGGAACAAGTGAAAGAGGCCTGGACAGTAGAATAGCTAAATAACACACGACTTCCTCCAGATGGTGTGACAGGCCTATTTGTTTCAGCAACCAGTCAGGCATGTGTATAAACCTGTTTTTTAACATCTCCCTCCAGTTCTAATTAAAACACACCGAGGCATTAACAACATGATATGTTACGTTCAGCTTGCAGTTCAATAAGCAAGGCATTTCATTCTGCAATTCTGAATGTAAGGCAGCAACAAGCGTAAGGAACACAAGTGCTCCAGAGTGTTAAATACAGTTCAAGAAGCAAAGGTTCCATGCCCCATCCAGAATCTTAGAATCACAGAATTACTCAGATTAGAAAAAGATCTTCAAGATCATCAAGTCCAGCCACAACCTCACCATACTACTCTAACTCCAACAACCCTTCGCTAAATCATGTCCCTGAGCACCACATCCAAACGGATTTTAAACACATCCAGGGATGGTGACTCAACCACCTCCCTGGGGAGCCTATTCCAGTGCTTAACAACCCTTTCTATAAAGAAGTGTTTCCTGATATCCAACCTAAACTTACCCTGGCAAGGCAGGAGGCCGTCCCGTATCACACCAGGCCCTGCAGACCTCAGTGTTCTGCCACTCTGCTCTGACCTGTCCTCCACCAGCATCCAGCCCTGACACAACATTTAACGCACCCAGCAACCTCTCGAGACACAACCAGCATCTGCTGGCTTTCATGACATAAATATCACTGATAAGAGCTATTATTAACTTGTTAGTTTCTATTTTAAGTAAAGTATCTCAAAATTGCATTTATGTCTCCAATTACACGAAGCCTTAAGTGTTACAAGCACTTCAAATCTTCACAAAACAAAGAGAGATGCCACACAGTCAAACAGGAGCTGCTTCCCCCTCCAGACATTCCATAGATCTGGGGGAGCTACAGCCAAGGGCGTGCAGTGGCCTAGGGAGCCAGGAAAGCTTAAACCTGCACAACAGAGCAGCAAGCTCTGATTAGGTTTGTTTTGGTGTATAGTGAGCAAAGTAAGCCTTGCTGGATCTGGATGCAGGGCAACTAGCCAAAGCAGCATGCCATCACTTCTCTAGTCAAAAAGATAAGGTTTTGGATACAAAATATGGGAAAATATGACACCTGCGCTTGACATTTTATTAAGCTTCAAATTTCAGTTAATACAACATTCTTAATTAGTGAATTGGCCTGAAAAATGGACGTAACACCACCCCACCGAACCTCTTCGACTAACAGCCCCAAGCCCACAAACCAGCATCTCAGGATTCGAGAAGACACACTGCACAAACTTGTAGCACATTTTCACCTATGCATCATAAAAGATGCACTGCCCAAATGGGCACCTGTTCTTACTCTCAGTACGTCCCAGCTCCTGCTGAGCTAACAGAAATCCCAGTACTCCCAGTCCTCTAGGGCAAAATGGATTCTGAAGACCGAAATGCTCACCTAAACAGACCATGGGGAATGCCCTCGGGCTTTGATCTGAGGCAGCCCGTACAGGATTCAACCATGCTCTTCACCAGAAAGCCTTACCCTTGCAGCAGCTCTCACTACAGCCTTGCACTCTCATGTTCACACCAAAGGTCAGGTCACATATAGACAAAATCCACACATGAGCTCTAGCAGGCTCTTCAGGTAAATGCTGCTCAGCACTCCACACATAGCAGCTATTGCAGTGACCACATATACGTGAGTTATACACATCTATGCAATAAGTGTGCATCAATAAAGCCTGCAGCAACTTCAGTTATCTCAATGAAACCTGGGTGCAAAGTTTCCACTGAACTGCAGGAGAGGAAAGCTGGGTTTAACCCAGTACTACACTGAGGTCCTCTAGGCCAGATCTTTAGAATCACAGTA